CGGCGAGAGGCTGTGACGTCATTGTGACGTGGCAGAAGCCGCCGCGGATGGGAAAAGCTTGCTGGCTCCGACCTACACGAGTTTGGGCGAATTAGGGCGAGCTGGGCGCGAGATTAGGGAGAAGCGTCCAAAATGGCATCGTTTTTGTTCGTGTTTCGCCATCGGCGTAGGTAAGCCACGCCACTGTGTTTGGCATGGACGACGTTGATTTTCAACAACACTATCGCCTCTCGAAAGACGTGGTAAGGTGGCTGTGCGATGAACTGCGTGGCAAACCGGGCTTGGGGCGATGGAGCCGTGAATGGACTGTCATCCCCGTCATGAATCCTACAAACAAATGCTACAAAGTGAATCCAAAAAACAAATGTCTTTCTACGGCAATCTGCAACGAGGAATGCAATTTATCATTACCTACAGGCTTTTAAAACTATTGCGATCGTTTGCTGCGATGCGTATATGGAAGAAAAACGCACTTGATAAATTTTAAACTAAAACAAAAACTAGAAGAAAAACATTGTACAGGAATGGCGCAGACTAACAACTGTGTAATTTCTTTCTAATCTTTCCCCCTCCACACCGTATTTTGACAAACAAATTCTTCGTTAGTTGTTTATACAGCAGAAGTTTAGTCTGCCAGAACGTGGTGACATTGCTGCTTGTAAATAAGCAATTTAGCCAGTGCTGTACGACTGCTAGCCTGGGTTCTTTAACGTGCACCACGCAGTAGTGATACACGACCGCACGCCGATGCGATGCTCGTCAAGATCAAAACGGGCATGGGTGGGGATTGAGCCCAGGATCCTGGGTTTTGCAACGCGAGCTTTCAATCGACGTGGATCCCCCGATTTAAATAAAATTAAACCTTTCACTATGGAGCGTAGGGGCAAATCAGAGCTACGCTGGGAAACTCGCCGCCGCCCGGGGGGGGGGGGGGGGGGGGGGGGGAGGGGAGGGGGTCGGAAATGTAAGAGGAGGAGTGGGAAACTCGCTGGGGCGGAGTCAAAAAAAGCTCCTCACCTCCCCCGTTACGTCGCATTGGAGATATTCTCGCCGAACTGGAGCTTAGCCCCCCAGGTCAGATATAATGCTGAAGACTAAGTTCAGTCTTTCATTTCATCCCACCTTTCGAACTGCGAATAAAACCTATCAGCTATGGGGAATAAAATGAGCGTAATTTTTATAAGTAAAGGCCAAAATCACCTTTTTGTACTATCCTACTGCTCTACTATCCCTTTTGTCACGGCTCAGAGATTTGTGCTTTTCTGTTAAAATGTTTGTATGAATTTACCGAGTTTGCTTCTACGGTGATACTGCATAAGTAACACTCTTTGAGCGCCAATATTTCGGCCTGGGCCCTTTTATTTCCTTTTTTATTTGAGAAAGACACATTTGCTTAGGTCATTGATGATAGATGTCGGGTTATCGTGAACATCTATATAACCGTCGTAGTATCTTACCTTTAAAATAAAAAGTACAATGAAATAAAAGTGAGATGTAAGCTTTTCTAATAGCTTCAAAGCAACAACCTAACATTTTAGGTACCTAACTCACTAGTTAAACTTTTATAGAAAAAAATGATTCGGTGACGGTTTCTCAATTAAACAACGTGGCACATCACCGGCAAGGATGCATACCTAAGCTAAAGAGCAGGTATGCGTCCTTGCCTCCTTCAATATCTAAAACCCAACATCAAGACTGCATGTTCCTGTAATGGAACATTGTAATGGAATAGGAGATTGTTTCGGGGCAAATCTGTTCAAGAATAATAACAGTGGAATAATGCGTGTGAGCATTTATATATATGGCGTTTACTATTTTATTTGGAACGACTAGTCATACAAGCTTGGTTATATTGGCAAACGACGGGGAGCAGAGATTATGTGGAGCACAAACCACACAGGTTTGCGCTAAATATATATTCTGCATATTTTGTGACATCTTGACTTGACTTTACCACGTCTGCTAAGCTCACACCAGTCTTACCGCCGCAAACAACACACTAAGTGTTTGGTTTGTATCGGTGACACTGATGTGAGGGGATAGCTCGGTTGGACTCTTGGCCGGAGCTCAGTTGTTATGTATACGGCTATGAACCTTCTGTTGGGGTTCCCTTCTTATGTCTGTTTTAAAAAAAGTGAAAGCCGCTTACAACTCCCTGTAACGCCGAATTAGAGCGTAGCTCTTGAGGAGGAGGAGGGAAGGGCACTGGGGGGGGGGTTAAACTAACCAGGGGGGGTCACGTGACCTTGGGGGTCACGTGACCCCCAATGCCGATGATGTCATCACTGACGTCACTGATGACGTCATCAGTGACGATGACAATGCGGGTACCGATGACGTCATTAGTGACGTCACTGATGACTTCACCAGTGGTGATGACGATGGCGATGCGAATGTCGGTGACATCATCAGTGACCTCGCTGATGACGTCATCAGTGATGATGACGATGCGGATGTCGGTAACGTCATCAGTGATGATGACGATGACGATGCGGTTGCCGGTGACGTCATCAGTGATGATGACGATGACGATGCGGATGCCGGTGACGTCATCAGTGATGATGACGATGACGATGTGGATGCCGGTGACGACATCAGTGACGTCACTGATGACGTCATCAGTGATGATGACGATGCGGATGTCGGTAACGTCATCAGTGATGATGACGATGACGATGCGGATGCCGGTGACGTCATCAGTGATGATGACGATGACGATGTGGATGCCGGTGACGTCATCAGTGATGAGGACGATGTGGATGCCGGTGACGTCATCAGTGATGATGACGTCATCAGTGATGATGACGATGACGATGTGGATGCCGGTGACGTCATCAGCGACGATGACGTCATCGGGGGTCACGCAACATCGGCGGGGGTCACGTGACCTCAAGGAGGGGGTCACGTGACCTCAGGGGAGTCACGTGACTTCGGGGGGTCACGTGACCTCGGGGGGTGGGTCACGTGCCCCCCACGAGGTCACGTGACCCCGGTCTGGGGCTCGCGCGGTGCATTATGGGACATTTCCCATGATGCACCGGGGTCACGTGACCTCGGGGGGGTCACGTGCCCCCCCACGAGGTCACGTGACCCCGGTGGGGGGCTCGCGCGGTGCATTATGGGACATTTCCCATGATGCACCGCGCGGTTACGCCGACGCCGACGCCAACGGCGACGGCGACGCCGACGGCGACGGCGACGCCGACGCCGCTCAAGCCGGAAACGGGCCCCTAAGAGCTGCGCTCTAAAAAGCCAAATGGGTTTATATTTTTCTAAATAATGTTTACTTTTGTGCAACCCTCCAATCTGACGAACGAGCGTAACTGACAGTCCGGTATGCCTGTTTTCATGCGATTTTGTTGATAAAACTCCTTTTGTTAACATTAAAAAAACGTGGTACCTACTATCATATTGCCACGCGCGCCATGCAGGAGTCCATCGTTCTCCGGCACGGCGCTCCCGAAGTTCTGATTAGAGATCGTGGGTCATCATCCATGGCACCGCTTACCCAAGAAATCCTTCGGCTCAGTCACACCAGTCACCGTCGTACCATTGCGTACCACCCACCGACCAAAGAGCTGACAGTGCGATTCAACAAGACAATCGTCGACATGATCTCTATGTACGCCGACGTAGAGCAGAAGACGTGGCACGAAGTGTTGCCCTATGTCACGTTAGCCTACAACACGGCGGTTGAAGAAACCACTGAATTTACTCCTTTTCAGCTGGTACGTGGTCGGAAGGTAACGACCACGCTAAACGAAATGCTGCCCCATGAGCCGGCTGACGATGACAACGACGACACCCGGGTGGTTGCTCAACGGGCCGAAAAAGTTCGCCAGCTCGCCTGACTCCTGATTCAAGAACAGCAACGCGTGGACGCGGGCCACTACAGACTTCGTCGCAGGGACGTCCACTTCCAGCCCGGAGACAGGTGTGGGTGTGGACGCCCATCCGTCGCCATGGCCTCAGTGAGAAACTGCTGAACCGGTACTTTCGACCATGCAAGGTACTTCGTCGCCTCGGGGAGCTGAACAACGAGGTGATGCCCGTCAAAACAAGAACAGCATCACGCCGCTCATCACGACCTAGAGTCGTCCACGTCGTGCGCCTCAAGCCGTTCTACGCACGTTAAGACTGTGAACTGTGCTCCCGTGCAACGCTTCATAAGACTGTGTTTGACCAGACTCTATATTTTCCTATTATTTTGTTTGCCTTGCACGGTTTTTTTTCCCTTTCATGTGGCATCGAGACGATGCTTTTTTTAAAGGGAGGAGTGGTTACCGCGCTTGACTATCGCGCGGATGCCCAGGGTTCGATTTCTGGGAGTTACGAGTCTTTTGTTTATTCTTTCAGTTTAATGTTCTGCGAAATTCGAGAACCCTGTGTCTTGTTCGAGGTCCGATTGTTAAAGCCGCCAAACCTTCTGCGGCGATTGTTCTAGAAGCCAACGCGTGTTTATGAAGGACTCTGCTTGGCGAGCCGCAGTCAACCTTGCCCCAGCGTTCGATCCTGCTGTTACGCCGACTTCGACGCCAGCGACGCTCTTTTGTTAGCTTTTGTTTCCTTTTTGTTTTTGGCACAAGTTTGCCCTATTAAACGTTTCAGTTTTCTCAATTATTTTTTGTTTCTTCACCTCGTCATTCCTCACAATATTACAGCCAGATACAAGTAAAGAATTCTCCAGACGCTCCACCTCCAGCGCGAGCTTTCTATTTTTGGTAACACTTCGGGGTTTCATAGGCACTGAGCACGCGACGGAAAAGAGCGAGCATGCGCACTGGAGGTGGAGCTTCCGGTGCATTGTTAAACAGCACTTTCAGTACTAGTGTACTTCATTATTACTCTAAAAACATGACCGAATTAACAGAGAGGAACATAATCCTGTATAACTATGTTTATTCTCAATCATGTGTTACAGATACGGAAAGCAAAAAAAGTGAAAAAGGAAACGGAAAACGTCATTTGCAAGGTCAAGTCTTCAAGTAGAAATCAAAGCAATGCCCCGTAGCCTGTACTTTGGAGCATTGCGACTGCTGATAAGTTGCCTTGGTGTCCTCATGGTGACCACAGCCGCTCCGAGAAATGTCCACGTGGACATACAACCACGACAGCAAACTACAGATAATTCTATACAGGTAGTTAACACTTCAACAACCTCCTTTTGTAACTAACTACGATGCCTTGATGAAAACGATAGAGTGTCAAAAAGTAAATACCTAGGTTTTGTGGAAAATTACTTTTTACATTAAATTACGAAATGTTTATATAAATTAACCTATAACTAACATTTAAAGATGAGTTTTAAAAATGACAATAAAGTAAGTTTATACAGTGAAAAGACAGTAAGTGTGCAGGCGAGCTGGTGATTGCTAATCATGTCATATGTCAAAAAAACGAAAAAACAAAACGAAAAAAACTAGAGAAGAGTTACTTTGGGGAAACACATCTTGGTGACCACTAAACGGTGGTGACGGTCCTTAACTGCATATTGTCCCCCTAACCCCCTTTTTTCTTTTTTCCACCTTTCTTTTTCTCGCTAATCGATCTGCTTGTTTATAGTCTCAGAAACTTTTTGGGAGTTGCTTCCAAGTTGCATTGATGCTTGGCTTATGCTGTTTTCCATTGATTTTATTTTTATCGTTTCTTTAACGACCCTCTGGATATCATCTCGCTCTTTATATAGAACTTTCGTTTCTGACCAGTGCGCAGTACAGTTGTTGCATTCCTCGATGTGCTTTGTGATTTCTGAGTTCGGCGCTTTCGTGTTTACATTTCTCTTGTGTTCTAATAACCTATCGTTGAGGTATCTTGAGGTTTGTTCCACGTACTTGATCATCCCGCATGTTAACGTAATTTCATATGCTACACTTTCTTTGCACGGAACCGAAGGCTTCCGATTCATACAGCCTGTTTTAAATAGTAATACTCAATATGTTTTTTTAGAACAAAATAAGTAATAATGAAAGTTACACTTGCGTCCAATTCCTAACACGAGAATACGCTATATGCAACACCCTAGAATATTCATATTTCAGTTCTGGTAAGCAACGTGCCGTCAATATTGTTGGAGGTTCCGCTTTCCAGCCGTTTATTAGCCGGACAAGACGTCCTGTTTCTTTGCTGGCCCGCTTCAAACTGCTTGCCCAAGCGCTGAAATCGCGCGACCTCCGGCCTCGTTCTTCTCTTCATCGCTACATTATCCCCCTGCCCATCTTTTTTCCTTTCTTTTTAGTGAGAATTAACGGAGTCTTTCGTGCGATGATAGGCGGTCCCGGTAAGCCACGAGCAGCCGTGATTGATCATTGCGACGTATGCGATATACCACGTCGTTGAGCATTTCGACGGTCGTGAAGGGGCCTTGCCAATGACACTGAAGCTTCGGAGACAGTCTTTTAAGGATGAGGTTGTACAGCCACACCTTATCACCGGTTGAGAACGGGCTCGTTGCGTCATGTGCGTCGTACTGAGTTTTCATACGAGCGAGACCACTTGCCAAACGTTGTTGGTCAAATGCATGCATCCGTTCTAGGTTCGCCCTCAGGTCGCTTACGTGAGACGCGTGGTCCTTGGCCGTTCTCATGCTCGTGTGATGGCAATTTCGCAGGGCATACGAAGATCACGGCGAACGCGAGTATAACGTGTTTAGAGTTGTGTCAGGTCACCTTGGCCTGCACTGCCGAGACTGTTGCTGCGCTCCCGTCTTTGACAAGTGTGAAGTGATTAAAAAAAATAAAGACAAACTCACTCGGGAAATCATTGAGGCGCGGGAAGTTGGAAGATTGGGGCCAAACTGTGGTCAGCACTCCGTCACTATCTTTATCAGATAAGGAACGTTCCTATTTAGACACACAGTGACAGTGCATATCGATGGCTAGTGAGCACGTGTCATCCAGGTCACCCTTTTTATTCATGTTTGTCTGTTGTGACAATACAGTATTTATACTCGCTGTTAGAACGAATAAACTTCAGTTGTAAGTCAGCGCCTTGTTTGTCTACCCTCTTGTTCTTGTCCGTGTCCTTGCGCTTTTTTAATCTTTAACCAGACAAAGTTGGAGTTTTGTTCTGTCAAGGCGTACAACGGCTTATCAATGTGGGCGAAACTGGGAACGAATCTTCAGGAGTAAGGTGCAATCCCGATGAAGCTATGTACGTTAGTGGTGTATGTCGGTGTTGGTCACTCAGCAAAAGCAGATAATTTGCAAGGGTCCGTGGAAACCCCATCTACTGAAATGATATGTCCGAGGTATTCGATTTTTCTGGTGAACAACGAACATTTCTTCGGTGTCAGTCTCAGTTCCGCATGTTGTAGCCGTGCAAACACTCTTTCAAGGTTCGCGAGATGATCAGAGAATGTTTGGCCGAAGACAACGATGTCATCAAGATATACGAGACAGATTGTGCCTACAAGACCGTTCTCCATTAGTCTCTGAATTGTAGTCGGAGCATTGCAGTGTCCTAATGGCCTCACTCTGAATTGGTATGAGCCATTACCTGTGGTGAATGCAGTCTTCTCAGGATCGCCTGGATGTACTGGGACCTGCCCATATCGACTCTTGAGGTGAAGCGTAGAAAACCACGTGCATCCTGCAAGAGCGTCCAATATCTCATCGGTTCGAGGCATAGGGAAGGAGTCCCTATTAATGACATTATTAAGTCGTCGGTAGTATACACATAATTGAGTTGACCCGTCCTTTTTTTTCACTGGTGTAGTTGGTGAAGACCAAGGGGAACATGCCGGCTCAATCACGCCCTGCTGTAGCTTCGTCTTCACCACGTCGTCGACGCTTGACCGCTGAGCGAGAGGAACGCGCCGAGTAGGCTGCCGTACAGAAACAGCATGTCCTGTCACGATTCGGTGTGTTGCTGCTGACGTCAGCTCCAAATTTGTATTGTCTCTGCTGAAAAGTTTTGGAAATCGTCCAAGTAGCTGCCGAACCTGATCAGCATTGGTGTTGTCCAGGCCAAAAGTTGCGCTCCTGTCGAGTGGTAACAAGTGCACAGCAGAGTTAATAGACAATACGTGGAAATAGACACACCGGGATGAGGAATTTATTGACATCCCGCTGTCGCAGAGTACTGTTACCGTGGCAGCACCCAAGGGAAACGAATCGGTTCCCAAATGCAGCAGCCCAGAGTTGAAGTCGAGCACACACAAAATCGACGCCGAGGATACGTTGCTCATCGACAGCCGCGACGACAACAGACAGAGTAACTTTAAGGCTTCCCACGCTAAGAGGTACGGTTGTGCAGCCCAATGAATTTAGCATCTCCCCTGTTGCGGTATGCAGAGAGTGTCTTTCGGAGTTTGGCGGGACGAGTCGGTTCGTCCCTAGCAGAACTTTAGGATGGATGACAGATGCTGTTGCACCCACATCGTTGAGTGCGCGCATGGGCACTCCGTCGACAATACCTTGGAGGTAGGTGTATATCATGGATGGGGGGAGAATGCCAAGGCACGAGTTGATGTTATTCTCCTTTGCGTTGGCATCGTTGGGGTCCGGCTAGGAAAACGAGGGTCGTTCTTCGGGTGCCCGCGTGTAACCTGGCTTGTAGCAATTCCAGCACACGAGAGCTGGAGTCTCCTGTATTCTCATAGCTGGTGTCCGTGGTTGCATCAAGGGTCGCAGTGACGTGGACTGGGGTGCCTGTCGTGTAGCTTCTGCCTCCAAGGCACAAGCATGTACGGCCTGCAGTGTCTGGGGCGTGCCAAGCGAACGGCGTCTTGCACGCCTACAGACGAGGTAGTATCGATGAATACCATGGTGGCGACTGCTTGAAAGTATCCTCTGGGCAGCCGGTAAGGGCAAGAGGCTCGAGATGATCGATGTCATCGGCGGATCGAGATATCGTTTCAACAGTTGAATGCCGGTGGTTCTGAAGCTGCGCATGATGGAGATAGCGGAGCGGCCCTTTTCCGAAACGTTCGTCGAATGTTGCGACCAAGGCCTGGTAGGATTGGCGGGCTTCAGATGGCAGGTGATGCAATATACTCAACGCTGGTCTGGCATTATTAGCGGCCAAGGCTTGAGCCTTTTGAGCCTCAGCCCAATTGTTCGCATCAGCGATGAGGATGAATTGTGCTTTGTAAGGTCCACAAGGAGTGGTATCATCGTACTTTGACGGTTTTAGCTTCAGACTTGGGAGTCCCATGAGGGCCTGGGCTAAAACGCTAACGGTATGAGGCTCCTCGAGTGCGGGTCGCCGGGCTTCTAAGCGTTCCAGACGGTCGGTGAGGGAAACAGTCATTTCCTGAAACATTGACGTTGAGCCCTGCAGAAGGTGGCTCTCCTGCGTGGTGTAAGACGCTTCGAGTCGCTCCATGGGGTTCGTTATTAAAGCCGTCATTTGAGAAGCGTGCGGGTCTGACAGGGCCGTATTTCCGGCGGTAGCATTGGCGGTGTGGTCCCGTTGAGGGTCGGAAGGAGGTTCCATGTTTCGGAGAAGGCGTTGACCGGAGCGTACCTCCACTTCTGACACCAAACGTAGCGAGTTCCGCTTGCCCGCCGTTATTAGCCGGATAAGATGTCCGGTTTCTTTGCTGGCTACCTTCGAACTGTTTGCCCGAGCGCTCACATCGCGCGACCTCCGGCCTCGTTCTTTTCTTGTCCCCATATTAGGATGCCGTAAATGAAAAATGCGTCTCCAGTTGATTTTTAGCATGAAGTGAGGCTCTAAAAGCACTGCTAACTAAATTTATTGAAGAGACTTGCCCGCTAAGTTTGCTTCATACATATCATAATAAAATGGTGATTATATGGGACATTATTTAATGCCAAGTTTACGCGACGGATTGACGACTAAACAGTCACAAAATAAATTAAGCTGTTAAGGAATTACAGAAAGCGATCGTTTTATGAGGTATAAAAGGCAAAATGAATCATAGGAAACGTCACGCTTCAAGTGGAAGTTGTTTATCTTTCTACCTCTCGTCCTTATTTTGTGACTATTGTTATAGTTAACCTTGTTTCAGGCGAATTTATATATCTTATTATAAATTTATTATTATCTTGAGCTCAACTTCCCCTTGACATTTTAAAACACAGCATATTAGAAAATTCGAAATCTTGTTATGCAGGGTGTTTAGCTAACTTTTGCCTGCACATAAAGAAATGATACAAGCTGTGCGTGTTGGACAAATGCGGTATTGTTCGCAGTCCTAATGAGAAAGTCAAAATATTTTAGAGACGTTCCGAACTGGATAATTAACACAGATTAATTAGCCAATGTCTTGTATCTTAAATTGTGCGCATACCCTCCCATAAAAGAGTTCTAGAACGTGTTGGGAAACACCCTATTGCATTGTTTTCATCAAGGTCTCCTTCATGTGCTTAACCTGTTTCAGGTTTAAAAGTAGAGCACTCAATTTTAATAAATAATTCCACGTGACAAAGAGCTCTTACATCGAACTTGACTAACGGGTAGTCTCGTGGAAGTTTTCAAACATCGCAATCTTTACTGAGCACACTAAAATAATAAACAGGCGACGGCTACACTAACCGAAACAACACAACGGGAGGCTTCTTAATGCGCCCCACAGTATTTATCTTGAGGGATTTGCGTAGAGCTTAGTATTTAAAAGTTAGTTCATTAATCTCTACTAATAAGCCAGTTTAATACCCGAATATTTAACTTTCTCAACACGGCTTCGCGCACTATTTCATTTGTTGTCAATGCGTAGCGCGCACGAGCTATTTTATGTTTTGGAACAATTTAGCAGCAACACCCTCCGATTTATTAAGATTAAAGAATAATAAACATGTAGGACAAAGACAACAAGACCGTAAATTTATTTGCTGGAAATTCTTCTTGGAAAAAATAAACACTAAAAACCAACCGGACGAAGAGCAAAATATACGCAATAGAAATTGTGTAATGTTTAATACGATTTTCTGCGTGAAATTTTGGATTTATATCCTACATTTCAAATATTCGTACGCTTTTCCTTTTATTAAAATTTTTAGTTTTAAAACGACTTGATGTAGGTTCCGATCGACGTACTATATGTTGTCATTCGGCGCCCTAGTCTTGAGAGCTGCATGTTATTCAAATTTAGCACTTTGTTTCTCTTTAGGGTGCAGCAAAACGTTCTTCCAAAGGTTTGCAACACATAACTACGAACAGTTAACTTTTTAAAAGTAAATAAAAACTCAACTACAACTTCAGGAGCAGCGCGTTCTCCATTTGCTGAAATATGTGAAATAAGGATTCAATGTGTTTTTTTTACAAATACAAATGTTTATACTTTTATGATGAAGCCAAAGTTTTTGCCGACTATCAACACACGTTTAATGAACATCTGTTCTGCCAATTACATGAGATTTAAGCAGAAAAGTATAAACAACCAAACCTTGCAAAAATACTCTTTCAAGAAAGACAGCGGTAGCAGCTCCCTTTATTTTATCCCACAACACGACCAATATTGTGAGACAATTCGGTGTAGCTTCATTTTGTGTTGTCTAAATGTTAATGTATTACATACGCCTCATTCCATAAATCCTACGGCCACGAGCCTTTTTTAGCCTCAGTGCGTCTGCGCACACGGGATTTGTAACTATACAGGAACCTGTCCTGTGGTCATATGCTAAGCTTCACAGGAATAAAGAGTATTATTAGAATAGTTAAATTTTAGTTTGTTATCTGATTTATACTTTACGTTATTAAAATCCCGAGGACTATTACGTTTCTTCAATAGAGTAGTAGCCAGAAATTCAAAATATTGCAAAGGTTGAGAATAGAACCCAATTCCAAAAACATGATCGGAACTAGTCACAAAATTACACGTCCCTGCAAAAGGTCATTATTAGTATTATATAATAATGTACTGTTGTCCTTTATAATTCTTCCGAAGCATATTGCAACCTATGCAGCTGCTTGAATGAAATGAATGATTTTATAACTTCACTGTGAACTACAGAGAGACTGCGCAAGAAAATAAGGCCCGAGAATGATAGGGGTGCTACGTTTTTATTCAGTTTGATCGCATTGAAGTTTATTATTCGTAGATGCTTGCATTCTGTGCTCTAAAAATTTCTGGAGATTGGGTAAATGCAGAAAGAAAAATAAACTTCGTTACACTCGGATTATTCATATAATCAACGCTATTTAAAAAAGTCAATATTTTTATTTTCTTCTTAGGTCCTTAGTGACATCCATGGAAAAACATTTGCCCTTCTGCGCTCAAAAACCCAGAGGCCATTCCTAGTCGACTCTATGGTATCCTGTTTCACAATGCAGCTGTTATATTCAGCAGAGGAAACAGACCACACGGTTATGCTGTGGCTTCATTACACGGAATCTAACGGAGGAGTCAAGTAGGTTTACTTATTATCCAGCATGCACAGCTATCTACCATATTTCAATAAAACATCCTTAACTTACTTACAGGCGTGTCGACACAATAACCTTCACAGTGAAAGAGGAAAAAGGAACGTCAGAAAACAACCTTCGTTTCGAATTTGAAGGATCATCAAAAAATGGTATGAATTAAGGACGCCTTTGCACTTGCGAGTGCACTTCACTCCAATCTGTTAATTATTAACACATACACAAGATAAAACGTAATTTATTGCAATAAAAGACATCACACAGAACTAAAAAATGTTTCATTTACATGGCAGCAAATGAACGCATGGCGAAATAAAAACCAAACAGAACACTGCGTCGTCTGATGAAGTCGACGTAAAGATTACACACGCTCTTAATCGAAGTTTATATTCACCAACAAGATTTATTTGGGGCACGTCGTGTATGCCCAAATTAATGCAACTTCTGCAGCGTGTGATTGAAGCTGTGAAAATCTTTAGGTTCACGCGTCGAAAGTTGGTTTTCAGGATATTTTTTTTAAAATGTAAAATAAACTGAATAGACAGACCGACAGTAATTCTTTCAAGCTGAATGAGTAAACAAACAAAATTCTATATCATGCGCACTTACGAACAAAGATAAATTTGAGGTCTTAATTGTCATTCTAAAACGGCTGTGCATTAAAGTTTATATTGTTATTCATATTTATCTTAATGACTTTAATTTTTTTCATGAAAATAACTTTCAAGTGCAGTCACTGATATGTTACAAATTATCAAAATATTCCTCAAATACAATATTTTAGCTTTAGTACTGTTCCCAAGTTTAGTAAAAATTCGCAAATTAAACACAAACACATCTTCGTGTGCCATTAAAAAATCTACAATTTGTACTACCAGCTCAACCAACTGATATATTTCAAGAAGGTATAGTCTACAGCTAATATTAAAAGCAACTGGCTGTTCTAACGTTTTACTATAAAATATATATGGATCATTGAGGAGAATATAAACATGTGATGTTAAAACGTTTACATAGTGGGCAGCCGTGTATTGTATGGTATAACATTTTTGTAATTATGTAGTGAAAAACATTGATATCTCTATAATGAAAATAATATGTCTATTCAATTCTTGAAAAAAAACGCTATTTTTGTTTTTATTAAAGATTCTAAAAACATTTAGACCTTCATTCAATGAAGCACAGATTTTTAAAAATAGGTTGAAAAGAAACATCGTGGCAGGTGCAGCCGACGTTTCGCTAAAACGCCGAGCTTGAACAAGACCAACAAGATACGTCCCTCACTCAAGCGCTGGATGGCACTCCTAGGCTAGGGAAAAAACTTAATTTTAAGTGATAGCTATCTTCTTTTTCCTTAACTTGTGCCTTATTTTGTACTTGGAAAGTGGCGTCGGAGCTTCGGCGGCTAACATTTAGGTCGTCTCTTTGTACTTCGTTCTCTGTTGCGGATGTTATGCGACAAAAAAAATGCTTCTCGTTTTGTACAATGGCTTTTGAATTTATCTGCAGTTTCATTAGCTTTCAGTTTCAGGCCTAGTTAAAGGGGCGATGCAACAAATTTAATTTCGGAAGATTTTGCAGTTTTACATTTTCGCTATTCTTTTGAAATATCGCGATTCCGTTGCGTAATAGCAAAGAAAAGAACGGAAATATTTTTGCGATGTGCAGCCGCGAGTTGGCGGCCATAGCAACTAAGGCGTGACTCGCAATGGAAATGTAATAAGTTTCCAAGATGTGCCATTATGTGCTTAATATCATGCTATATTTGATAAGTATTGTCGTTTCAACATGAGAAAATGCGTCAAAAGTCTCATATAATATACAAGTTTGTACTATATTCATTTGTAGTGGCGCCGTCTGCCCGAGGTGAAATAAACTAGTTATCCACGTGGGCCTCACTCCGTTGTGCTACCACGTCAGTCGAACTTCCTTACGGAAAGGCAAGCTCTTTGCTCCCCCCCCCCCCTCCCATCTCCACCTCTCCACATTGCTTAGACCAACCTTCAAAGCAGCCATGAAAGAGAACCCAACCGGACATTCGTCACTCGGAAGAATGTGTACGAGTTGAGGGTAGTTGGGAGGCGCCAAAAAACATCAATTGTTAAACCTTTTTTCTAAAGAACTAGCGCACGTAGGCAAATTTTGTTTGCAGTTCGTTAATCCAGACGTGACAGGAAAAAACTACCATAATTATTTGACCGATGTCCAAAGATTGTTGCACGGCCCCGTTAAATTGTCTTCATCAGTGCCCGTCCTTATGCTCACGTGATTAGGTAGGTGTGAAAGAAATGGTCACGGTATTTTCTAGTGAACTACTAGCTCATACTCAGGTCGCACAGTTCTTTGGACCAACATTTTTTTTGCTTTTGTTTGAGAATTTCGGGTTTCAAAACGCCCGAAAAGTCAAGGTAGGGCCAATCTTTACCTTCTTTAACCATAGTCTTTTCCCTATTTACACAAGCAAGTGCCTTAGTTAGACTTCACTGCGTTTGGTTGTACTGTTAGTTTTTCGGTTTATACTAAGAATGCTTGGCTTAAGTATGGAACTTAGGCATTTTTGTGGCGAGCAAAAGAAAAGATATAGGAACGCCAAAGAAAAGTACTTTGTCACTTCCTAACGCCTTGGAACAAAGCCGTGTTAGACTCGAGTTAGGCCACTAGGATTGCCAAGATTGCGCAAAGTTAAGCGTTTCTGTTCCGTGCTGCTTGAGTATGTTTCGATGTTTTTCTTTTTCACACATTTAAACTTGATTTTGATAGGAAATTCTTTGGTTGGGTGAAGTTGCGTTTTCTTTAGGCCAACCTAACAAAACAGTGACGTCATAAATGCTGATGATGCTCCGTAAGAGTTATAGTCACCACCAAGAAAAAATAAAGTCGGTTCCAAAACCTTCAAACACAAAATTAAAACTCAAGCTCATTTCTATATAATCAGGTTGTCCCAGTCTTCGTGTTTATAGTTTTTGTTTCAGTAGCAAACCAATATTTGTGTTTTTTTTTTATTCCATGTGACATTCGCAGATATTGCTTAAAAAGAAAAAAAAAACTATGTATTTCTGAACAAAGAGTGATCTCGTTAAAAGGATGGTACTGTCTTGTTTTTTTATTACGTTCGGGGGCATATCTCTACGAAACCTTACACGATTCAAAGTTAGGCCATAATGGTCTAGGACATGCTAATACTAAAACTTTCTAGTATTTGGTTTATGATACTATATACTTCAAAATGAAATATTCGATGTTTATCTCTGTCATTAATTGGGTAATAAAAACGTTGTATTCCTATACTTTACTTCTATATTATATCCAGTGGCTAAAGACATTTCAACTCAGCATTTATTCATAATTTCTTAAGAAATATTCTTGGTAGGTTAGACCTTTAAACGTAATATTATTGCTGACAGCTCAATATTGCTACGATTCTGCAAACGGCGGTATTATCGTGGATTCAAAACATTACGAAATTTTAAAGCTCTAGATGTCGGAATATTTAGCGGACAAGTATTTATTCACTTTCCATGATAAACAATGTTTTTTTTTATTACCGTTAAAATATGTATTTGGGTGATAAATCCTACCCAATATCTTTTTAATTATGAAATTCGCAAATATTTTGACCTCGCAAATATTAGGCCGTTATAATGGAATGTTTTTACTAAATTTGTAAAGAAACGACAACTAAATTAATGATTTAAACGACAAAATAACTTTTTGAAACGCCGTGTTTTTTTAAATTTTGAGCGATGCATTCCATGATTAATCTAATCCACTTATGTCTACAGGCCTCACCATACAAGAAGCTGAATTTGTCTACCGCGAAAAGTCTTGTTACGGCCTGAAGATATTAAAAAAACAGGGTACGTAAAACTTTCAGTTTCTTATTCTCACATTTGTCTAGGCCTACACTCTTAAAAAGGCTAGTAGTATTTACATAGTAAAAGCTAGTAACTCTTTTGTCAGATATGTTACTAGGTACTTAGCAAACTTTGGTAATAACGGTCAAGCGGAAACGCAACGAATCACGTGATTTGTGGCGAAAAAAAAACGGCGAGTGTGGTTATACCGCTTACCACCAGATAGCAGCCGCAAAAAAAAAAAAAAAAAAAAAATTAAAACTGGAAATGAGTACGTAATATATGTGGCGCTAGTCACCGAACAATTACAGGTAAAAATGTCAGTGCTCAAATATAGGTTATTTCAACGCTTCCACATTTGCAACTAGATACATGTCTTGCACATAAACGTATTCAGCACACAACTGATACAATGCTGTCAACAGAGATCACATGCAAATATGACGAACACACGTGAAACGCTCACTCAAATCATTCTAATCGCTAACTCCCTTGTCTTCCCATGAGTATTTTACACTGACCATTTCAGTGCTCAAACTTGTCGTCGTGTATTACCACGTCAGTGAATAATGTGACACATATAGTGCTCTTTTCGCACCAATATCCTTCCTCAAGAAAGTTTTCAAGCAATTCAAGGATTCTAGTTCCTTGTAGAAAACAGAGGTAAACACAGACATTATTTGCGACAGTCGATAAAACAACCTCCCGCGCCAATTCTCAGCATCCATGTATTCGCTTCCCGATATAGCAACCTCGAACCAGCTTTCTCGACCCTCTCGTTAATAAAGAATTAAAACCAATACGGTCGCCGTCGGCGAGAGATTGCTTTACTTTTGTCACCCGCGGCGAACGAAGTCAGTAAGTGACGGTAAGTACGACGGCAGCTGCGCACCTTTCTCGTGTTGTATAAAAGAAATGCATGCGAAATTAATACCGGGTGCAGCTCGTGTCTTAATTTGTTTGTAGTACACATACGAATGCTCGCATTTCTGAAAAAAATTTAGGCAAACTAAAAAAAATAAATAAATAATACCCGTATAGTGTCAAAATATTTTTTAATAAGTAGTCCTAATGCTAGGTACACTATTTACAACACATCAACGGTCATGACACTGCACTGTCACGACCGAAGACAGCTAAATCAGAACCATTCAACCACCCAGCACACACAGACCGCGAAGAAGACGTTCCCAGTGTCAAGTAGGATCGAAGCAGCGAAGCTTCTTGGACTGCGAAACTGGCCGAGCGATCGCGGTGGAGCGGCGGATCCTGTGACGAGACGAACGCTCGTCTCCGGCTCGTTAGAATCCTCGTTGCTCTCCACGTCTACGCACACTCTCGTCCAGTCGACCGCACGAACGTTCACTATGTACTCCAACTCGGGAACACGAGAACAGTACACGACACTCGGCAACAACGGCAGGTTTGGATCGCAGAAATTATCATTTCGCAAACTCCGACTGGTCCCAATTTGCTTGTCGTACAATGTTGCCAAGTGTCTCTTGCGGAAGAGAAACGTATATTTTAAGAAAATCATAAATAAAAAACAAAATGAACCTTTCTTTTCTTCAGAAACGTGTTTAGCACGTGCTACTCAGCTATTTTCATTTTAAAATAAAAATTACAAATAAACGCTTCCAAAATAATGCAAACGTGAAGGGAAGTGAGATGCCGCATGGCCATTCCATCAACAATGACTTCCACCTGACTGCGCTCGCTGCAGCGCTGGCTTCCACAACGTATTGGAACGGAGGTTGTGATCGCTATCAAGTGAACTCCAACCCTTAAACATGCCCCGTCCTACAATATTTGGTGTTAGAATTCTGTGTGGATACCTCCCCCTGTGTTCCAAAAGAGTACGTGCGTCGCTAACGCTGACCATCGGCGATGAAGCCGATGCAGTAGACGCCGCCATCTTGTCCGCGCATTTGGGGTGGTAAATAGCTAGTAATCGTAGTAAATGTTATTACAAAGTAGTAATGGTCAGTACAAGGTAGTAACGGCTCCAGTTAATGGTTTTGTACTAGCGTTTTTAAGAGTATAACAATGGAACGTAGACCCTAGTATCATGCATATTTCCACATTCAAATCAACTGAGTATGTAAGCAAATGCATAAAGAGGAAATAAAGAGCTCGGCTTTAATGGCCCGCTTTAGGCTGCCTAAAAAGGAATATTGCAATCATACACAGCCTGTTTATTTTTTAAAAATCTAATAGATAATCGCGACACGCCTGTTTATACAAAAAGGGCTTATTAGTATCTTTCTTTAAAGGGGTCATGAAACGCTTTTCCAACTTTTTCCTGTTTAGCTTTCCTCCTCAACCCATAAATCGCGCATTACACCAAACAGTTAAAGAAGACGAAAAGGGGAGTCCCCTCTTGCTCGCACTCTCGTTTGTGTAATCCCGGACACATCCATTCTCCCCCTAGAAGATTAGCCCGTCGCTCAAAATTCAGACAAAAGTTGCTTTCCCCACCCCGTTCATTCCGAAGCTGACAGTGCTGTGGAAGCTACGTGCTCGTTGGGCCAGCCACACTTGCCACGTGAGCGTGGCAAATGTGGCTGCAGAGAATGAAGTCAGGTGATGAAAGGGAGGCGGCTGATTGGTCCGGCAAGCGCGTAGCTTCCACCACAATGTCAGCTTAGGGGTGAAGGGAATACGTGGGGTCCGGTTGCGTGTGACGTCAGTTTGGACCCAATAACGCGCTTTTGGGACTGCGGATGTATCACAGTGAAAAGGCAGAGAGGTTGCGAAGGGGAGGAGGTACGAAATAGTCCTCTCTGTTTTCAAATTTTCGCACTGAAAGTCAGGTTTTTGACTTTCTACCTTTTTTCTTTTGGTCCACTGAACGATGTGCTATTAGTAAAATCCCAATCTAAAATGATTTATCCCAACCCAAAAATCGTTTCATGGGCCCTTTAAGTTTTGAGTAGAAAAACAGGTTGCGTATCATCATTACTTGGTGTTTGTTTTCTTAGGACGCATACATTGAATCGTAATCTTAAAAGACGAGCAAAACTTATTTTAGTTTGCCTTAAAACACTTATTTTAAGATGGCAAGATAGTAGTTACAAGCATATCGGCCTGAAAAAATAATCCTGTAATATCCTGCGTTTCTTTTTGTTTAGATCATTTCAGTTCGACATCCTAAACAAATCTTAAACACCTACTTTCCTGTAAAGTACTTGCAAGAGCCAATCCCTGCAATCTAGAAAAAGAGCTCGCCGAGTTACGAGGCTAGAACTATGTTTAACTCAAGGAAAACGGTCCACGCTGTTACACTGACCACGATCTTTAACGTGCTTACGCCACCTTCAGTGTCACAGCGCAAGGGGACGTTGTGTGTGCTTCACATTTTTAGACTCAGCATTCGCCGGGCTCCCTCCTTACGCAAGGGCTCTGCGGGTAGGTAGAAGTATTGAATGTTTTAGAGTAAAGAATATTTCCTTTAGTCCATGTCCCTTTTGGCAACTCTTGCCAGTCGTTTTCCCAACCGCACATCTGCCAGGTTTACAAGACTCGACGATAGCCACTCACAAAACGAATACCACAATTTCGACGTATTACCAAAGAGATAATCTCCACCCGAACAAACATTTGCGTGACAAATATCCTACTTACACTGACACACTTAGCTGCAGTTACGCTTAACCATAGTTGCCACACTCTACTCTTGGACAATGTTTATTAGGCTATTTAGTCAAAGCTTTGAGAGCACGAGCAGCTGCGCGCCTTGAGCGCCCATGAAAGCTGGGCACGCGCCCAGCTTTCTTCTGAAATACGTGTACGAGCGTTTAGTGCAGTTACTCTGGTGAAGCTTAACTACAGTTGAAGGTGCCCGTGTAACTAGGCTACTAGTGTTTATGGTTTCTGATACCTTATAAAATGCAGGGCTTGACGAGTCCCTAAAGTCTCATTATCGCTACGCAGTCAATGAGATCGCGGCGTTCGCAGATAAAAGTGAAAGAAACCGAAGGCCCAATATTTGTAGACTCCAAGATTAAACATTACTGAAGTGTTCTTAAGCTTCGCCTTTAAGAGTGGAACGCGATAGCTAAACATATCAAATCCCGCTCGTTCCCAAGCCGTGCAGCGTGCTTTGCGCGGCTTAGGAATTACACTTCCGGACACAGCAGCCTACGGATGCGGAATGTCGAGCTCCGACGGAATGGTGATAAAGGCCCGGCGAGGCGCGGTGATTAGGCATCTACTGTTGTGCTGTAATATGCCGTTCATCTGCCACCCTTGCCTGCTGGGTACATAGCGACGAACGCAGTGTTTCTACATTGCGATGTGAAGAAACAGCCCTACCGGATACAAGACTTGCGCGGTGAACTTGGAGAGTTGGACCTTCTGAAAGACTGCGTCGGCGGGTTTCATGCCAGATGATCTTGTCTGGATGTTGAGACTGCACTCATTAGCTGTGAAACAAAAGCTGGTGACCGCAAAAAAGCTAACTGTCAGACAAGGGAGGCGCCTCGTGTTTGACTCAGCAAAGAATTAAGTAAACATGGAGCTCCACTGGGTTTCATACTGTTGTTTTTCTAAGGCCATGGAGTGATCGTAATCGTTACGAAATGAACCTTTAGTACACAAAGAAAGAACTATTTACACTCAGGGTAATTCCGGTATCGGGAGACGCCAGTGTTCGGCTGGCTCGCTGGCTCGCGTCGGTCAGCTCGAGCTCGCTTCTTCCTCGTCGTTCCGTGTGTCTACTCTTGGACACAACACATACGATGTTCCAGACTTTAACGTGTAAAAGGAGATTGAAAGTTTCGGCAAGGTGTCGAGCATAAATTGGGAATGCTTCCGCGAACGAGGCTTCGAGAATCTGGAATCCAACACGAGGCATGTGCAGCTGACCCTCAAGGGGGTTTGACGGTCGACGGCAGTCCCCAAAAGATACGGTTGGAAAGGTGTAAACATACGGTTGGAAAGGTCCTGGTACTTGGGAGGGCCCCTTACTCCCTGCGATGCAGGCAAACTGGCCATATCCGGCG